TCAAACAGTTACTGGTAGAAAGCATTTCGTGAAAAAGAAGGTAGACAGACCTTCATAAACCTCAAAAACTTGACCTTCATCTTCATCAATATCGGAATCATTCTTTGGCACTTGATTGTCGTCATCATCACTATTGTCAACAATGGCATGTTGTTGGGTTGGTTTTCTTCTATTTCTATTTGATGGATTGGCTTGATTAAGATTGAGCCCGTGTGAATATCGTTCTGATGGCTGGTGCTCGGTCTTGTAAGTGTTTTAGTATGGTTTTTGTTTTTGTTATTGAATTGTTCGATTGTTTGAGTGTTGTTGGTGTGATGAATAATGAGAATGAATATTGACCAACAATTCAATCAATTGAAATCAAGTTTTGGGCATTACTATTAGGCTTTGTCTGTCTTGTCTTGTTTTGATTAATATTGAAGAGGTTCAGTTGGTTATAATCATTTCAAGGTATTGTTGATGAGAATGAATTGACAATCTCTTACTTTTCAAAACAGGTTGCCTTTGAGTTGATTGGATTATTCCATTGACTAAGTCTCACCTCTCCTTTGATCTGTAACGAATTCCATGTCTTCTGAAATCTCTGGAACAATCAAATCAAGAAAGTGATAAGAAGGATATCGACCTGTAGGTTTAAACGCAAAGGGAGGTATTGAAAAGGAAGAGGACCTGAGGAAACACTTCAACATGGGTTGATGAACCAATCAAACAAATTTATCAACTTGTAAGAGAATAGAGATCAGGGGGGAAGCAATAATATTACCTCTGTGAATCAATCGATAGATTATATGTAGATTGCGTAGATCATGTTAAGGTACTACGGAAAATAGAAAATAATCATCGCGAAGTTGTAACTTCGGCTGGTCAAAACTTGCAGTTGTCAGGGGAAAGAGTGGAGGTTTTGTCAGGTTTTGTCTGAATTGCATGTTCGCCATTAATATGAATGATAAAGATAAGAGGGGCTTTCCCGCGGGAGAAAGTCCTTCTGAAGAGTTCTGAAGAGCTCGCTTGGATATCAGTCCAAAGATCCAGCTCAAAGTTCTTTGCTTTGAAGGTGTTCTGATCTTGTATCACCACTATCAAGAGGAGATAGTTGAATTCCAGTCCATGAGATAACAAGTGTGTGAAATTTGAAGAGTTTTTGGCAGGGGTACAACCATAGATTGCTCTAGGGCTATGACCCGGCCCTGGAGCTTCAGGGCCGGCCCCGTGACCGGGCCACATCCGGCCTCAGACCTGAGTTCATTTTGAAAGCTACCGGGCAACACCAGGCCAGCCCTGGGTCGGGCAAGCCCCTTTTGAGCGCGTTTGAGAGCTTGAAAGGTACACTCAATAACATCAAATTAGATCAAATTCAACCACCAAAAAGTTCAGAACAATAAAACAAGTGAGTGTAGCAAAAAAAAGGAATAACAAAAACAAAACAAACAAATGAGTGTAGAGAAAAAAACAGAAGAAACCAAAACAGACAAATGAGTGTATAGAAAAAAAAGATAGAACATAAAACAGCAAACAGCAAACAAGGAGAACAAAACATTGACATGTATTTACTTGGATAACCCAATACCCCATGACTTAAGACAAATCTGTGCCTCAAAGTTTTGATTAGTCATACATGATTGATAGTCAGACATCACTCTGGAACCAGCAGGGAAGATACGTTCTGAGGGGGCACCTGATGCAGGAATGGCAAGCATGTACATAGCCATCCTAGCAAGCACAGGCCAGTTTGATTGGTTCGTTTTCCAAAATACTAAGATATCAGTACGTTCATCCACCAACAGGGCAAGAAGATACTCCTTCACTTCCTCCTCAAGTTGAATGAATTTTCTTTGTTTGATAAAATGATGTGGTCTATTGTCATTGTCATCAAGCACGGGTTCCGGTTCAACTATCTCAATATCTGGATCCTGAGTAGGTTTGAATTGTCTTGCTTGTTTGATAAAGTACTCAACTACACAAAATGTCATCTTTACCGGGCGGTAAAGAAAACTACTGACACAGTGTTTAGCTTACGGCAAGGGTTGAGAATAGGGGAACATATGTAAAAGCAGTGACAGTGTTTAGCTTACGGCAAGGGTTGAGAATAGGGGAACATATGTAAACTGGTTTCTTCAAAGCCAACGTCAAATATCGAACTAATTTCTTGACCATAGGCAGAATAGCTGCCTTTAAGTTGGTACACTTGTATGTACTCCATGCCTATGTTTGGTAAATACAAGGACATATCAGACATAAAAATAAAAGTGAGTAAATATGAAATGGAACTTACTTTTTCAAGTTTTTCCACAAGCCATTGATAATCGGGCATTGCTTGTGAGAAGGTAGGATAATCATCACCCTCGATCTGCTTGTGCAAGAGGTCGAAGAAACTTGACTAAGTTTCCCACCAAGATCCATTCATCTTCGGTTAGGAGGTAAGGCTCCAATGATTCATTGATGTTAGAGCATCCCCAACGCGCCGCCGGAAACGTAACCTTTACATAGGGTTTACCTAGCATTTCTGACGGAAACGTAATGTCAAAATTACGTTTGCAAAGATTTTCCGAAAAACAGCCTCCAGCGCGAGTAAAAAGTTGCACAGTTGGCCATGGGTGTGATGTCGTTTATTCCGCCAGCTGGAATACGTACGGTTTGTTCCAATTGTTTCTAGCTGAGCCGGAAACCTCGGAAAACGTGATTTCTCACAATTTGGACACGTTGAGACCACGAAACTCGCCTCTTTCGTTCCTTCGTGTCCTATCTCAAAGCTTGAAGCACACATTACCACGACCTCGATCAGATCAAGCGGCCAATCCATGCGATTGATCTGATCGTGTCCTATCCTTAGACAGGGGTAGAAAACTGAATCTCTTATTCAGCTTGCGCGGTGCTGCCTACTGAAGCTGAAGCTGAAATACAGGTGTCCAAGTGTCATTTGTGACACCTGTACCAGGTTTCCAGTTCCCGGCGCGTTGGGGATGCTCTTACAATAGTATTGAAGGACTTTTGTCAATTCAAAGTATTGCTCGAGATAGTAAAAGGTTGAAGACCACCAAGTGGAAACCTTGTGGATGACCCCAACTTTTCGAGGCTGAGAGGATGAGGAAATACATTGATCAAGAGCTTGTTTGAGCTGAGTGCTCAATTGGGCACTTTTATGGAAACCACAAATTCGAGTAAGAATTGAATGGACTTCAAGATGAGGAGTAGGTTTGATTGAAGAATGGGTTCCATCTGGAAGATCGAGATTTTGAGGTAATTGAGGATCTAAAGCACTGAGAGGATCCAGGGGAGTCTTGGTGTCAAAAATTGAGACTCCAGGCTTAGCAACGAGGTTGATAACGTGGGCTACACAGCCGTGGAGATTCTTCTTGGGATCAAAGTGAAGTATAAGAAGTTTGAGCTCTCGCCCCATGATTAGATTGTTCAAAGCGTTGTCAGCTGTAATGCAATAGAGTTTATCGCTGATAGAAAATTGATCTAAAGTGCTCTTAATGAGCGCAGCCATGTTTTTACCTGTATGAGCGCCATTGATTTCTTTCAAATCTAAAACCACGGATTTCATAGAGAAATCATCAGTCATCCAGTGAGCAGTTATTCCAAGCATTGGTACACTGCTGGGTGAAGTCCAAGCATCACAAGTGATGCTGATGTAATCTACTGAAGAAAGAAGGGAACTGAGGCGATTTCAAGCAAGACGGAACTGAGCAACGATGCCATTGGTGATGGCAGTTTGTTTCGATAAGATAGGAGAGACAGCAGGGTTGATCCAGGCCAAAAGTTCACGGAATTCTGGGGCGTCCACAACTGATACAGCAAGCTCTCAATTCACAATAAGACAGATCACGGCATTGGTGAGGTTCTTCCTATTGAGCGTTCCTAACTAAAAGACACAAGATAGAAGGCTGTAAGACAACAAAATACAAGATTAAATGAAAAGAATATCATCAATCACTTATGTTGGACCTTTGTTGAGGGAATGTGATTGGTGAGTGCAACTTGCAAGAAGTTTCTTGACCGCAGATTCAAAAATTGACAGAAAACTTGAAGGGCTGTGCAGTGTGGAAGCAATAAACTTGGCAAAAGTCTCACGCTCACGCCTACTCGCAAGCTCTCGCAAGCCGTCAAGCAAGGGACTTACGACAAACTAGTATGTACACTCCATGTCACATGACCTGAGAAATGCTCCTTTTGCAGGGAGCAATCTTGCAACCTCTCTGCAGGTTTCCCTACCAAAATTTTTTGTCTGGAGCAAGAAGAGAAGTTGTATGCCTCATCCTTGCACATGGTTGGTCTTTCAAGGATTTGTTGTTCAAGCTTAGCAAACTGTCCTAAAAGATAACAGATTTTGGTAATCTCACATGCCACATGATTGGTTTGCTGCATCATTGCTGAGATCAGTATCCACTTTGAAAACTACAGCAAGAAACCCATTATTGGACTTCTTGCTTGAAGTGAGTCCAAATCCTTCAACCATATTACTGATGTTCCCAAGACTGACACTAGGTGCTCATTTTCTTCTGCATTACATACCTACACTCACACCCAAAATCTGTGCTGGTGTGCTGTTGGGTGTGCCACTGGCTCATCTTCTAAAACCAAACAGTAATTGGGCTTGACACCCAATTCCTGGCTGCTCTTCTGTGATGACTGTTCACACAGTTTTGGCAGTGTTTGGCAATAAAAATCCCTGCCATTTGCGGTACTCAAAGTTGTGTATACTTTGCTGTGCATAGTTTTCTTTTCTTTTTTCACAACTTCACACAACCAGGGAAAACTATGTTTTTGGCTTAAAAGTACATATCTTTGAGCTTCAATCAAGAAACATACTTTTTCCAAGTTGTTTGTAGTTGCGAAAAAACACAAAAAAACTATGCACGGCAAAGTATACACAACTTTGAGTACCATTATTATCCATTGCAAAGGCCATGGCAGCCTGGCAGACACACAGATTGATCATTTAATTGTAATTAGAGGTTGAGGCTGGGCTTTGAAAAGGTGTGTGAGGCATCTTGGAAATGCCAGATGAAGGTGAGGAGGAGGCAATGTGGGTGGGTCAAGATTTGCACAAGCGCAAAGTTGAATCAGCAACTTTGCCTGAGGTGTTGGAATGTCATGACTCTGAACCACCAAGTTCAAGAATTGCAACAGGTCTGAAAATGGAACACACCCATGAACACACCTGTCAGTCAGGAGCTCTTGCTTCTCTTTGCCTTTGCCGTTTGCTTCACTGGTCTCAATTCAACACAAACTTTGCATTTCTCCCCCCCAGTCACTTGCACCCTCACAACTCTCTTCAACCACTTTGATCTCCCTTTGTCTGTTGATTTCTCATGTGTCTCTACGTCTCCCAAACAAAGGGAGAAGGACTGTCACAAGTGCTTTAAGCAAGTGAAGCACACATAAGTAAATTAGTTTGGAATGTTTTGAATTTCAGAAGTAACTGACCAAAGTTGAGGATCTTAGTCCTGATCCCAAGTATTGAAACAGGATTGGTGCCTTGCCTTTGACTTCAGCCTTGCCTGAACACCAGCCTAACAAGTTATGTATAGAAGAAAGCTATGCACCTGGTTCAATTGTCAACACCAGTTTTATAATTGCCACACATGAGGTAAAAAACACTTCAAATTCCAATACCATCTGTACTCAAAAGATGTTAAGTCTAAACATTCCAATTTCCTGTATATTGTGCAATTTACAGTTCTGGTGACCAGAGAAGTCTTTGACATCAGCAACTCTTCTTTTGCCAAGTCGAAGAGTATGGTGTTCTTACCGGCTGATGTGCTTGACCCCAGCCAATTTGGCAATTGCAATAGCATCAATTTAAAAGAGGCCAATGAACAAGGCCGGGTTAGTTTCAATGCATACAGCCACAACACCAAAGATTACTCACATGATCTCAATCAAATGATTCTGTGTGACATGTCATTGCATCTCTACTTTGATGGAATAAGAAGATTAGGTGATAAGAATGCGGGTTTCATTGTCACAATGCACAATCTGCTCAAAAACATATAGGTTGTGATACCAGTAAGTCATCAAGTTCTTCATGTGTAATTTGTGTTTTCAGGTTAGGTAAATCATTATTGCATGAATTTGTCTATTGAATTGCCTCATTCCAGAAGAACAAGCAGACCAAAGTGGTCAACTCAGCCAATATTAAGCAGGCCAAAGGGGTACACTCTCACAATGGAGAGTCGAGTTCAACTCAGGTAAAGCCTGCTATTGATTTGTTTTTGTTTGTTTATTGGTTTTTTCATCAGCTCACCTAATTAACAAAAGATTCTGTTTTGTTCTCCTTCACTAAGTAAAGATGATCAAGAAGGCCAAGGTTGTACACTTGCAAGGAGTGTACTTGGATTTTCAAGGGACTTTGGTGATGATCAATCATCATAAGTTGAACCTTCTATGTGGAAAGTGTCATTTGTCAGATTATCTCATTTACACTTTGATCACACCAAGTGAGATCAACAAAGTCATTGAAATCTTATGACCTCATCACATCAAATCACTTGAAAAGTTTCTTTTCCCTGGCATGTTGGATGTGGAGCAAAGTGTGAAATGAGGTACACACTTTGGAACAGCAATGGATTTAATGTTCAAAGCCCAAGATTACCTCAAATATTTACTCAAAATAATGAACCACAATGAAATTTAGATGATAATTGTATACTTGGTTTACTATAAATCTGACTGGATTCATTAGATTCATTTTGATACAACTTCTAATAATTGTATGCAATCAATTTCTATAACTCAGATTGGGTTCTTTAGTCAGGTTTCTTTTGAATCAATATTTCAAATCTTTGTCTTTTTTCTTTGGTTTCATTAAAATCATATTCTTTGGTCTCATCATTTTCATTTCAACTATTATATTGTGAATGTTCCCCAAGCCTGAAACGGTACATACCAATCCATTTATGAGAGTAACAGGAAAGATGCAAGGAATTTGGGGTGTCATGGATTCCTGTATGGGTGATTTCAGCAACGCTGCCACAGTTACATTACTATTTTTAGTATAGTAACAGTATAGTAACTGTGTTACTTAGTATTGGTCTGACCAATACTTTACTTGCAGGTCCTTGGGATGGTATCGTCAATATTGATACCGTATTGAGTAAAGTATCAGAAAACCAATACTATACCCAGTAGTTGCTGGTGAAGTATTGGTCAATGATTCCGCCCATTGAGGCTTAGATACCGAGTACAGTATCAGTATTGCGGTGCAGATAACAATACAGTATCGAGTATAGTAACAGTATTGCTTCAAGATACTTTACTTGAGATGGCCGCCAATAGTATCGTAACTTCTGATACCGTATTGGGTATCAGTATTGGATTGGTGATACTTTGATGAAGTGTTGCAAGATCAGTATTGTGGATTTGATACTTTACTGGGTATTGCCAATACTATGCCAGTATAGTAACTGTGGCAGTGTTGATGTCAGCCCTGAGCCCTAATCACAGGACCATGGGCTAAAAGTACCATATGTAATATTAAAATATTGTATGAAGCCATAAGCTACATCTCAAGGCTCAGTGTCAAGAGCCACTTAAACACATGTATGCAATGTATTAAATACATAAGAAACCTAACCCAAGTGACAACCACAAGTTGACATGTGAATAGACAAGACTCACACGCCAACCACAAGTTGACGCTGGAACTGAGACTATATAAACCCCCCTTTCTTCCCTAGAATCATCCCCCATCTTTTACTACAATCACAACACAGAACCACATTTTACTTGACTCCTACTGAGAGGATCTTCAAGTATGTGGTTAGTTGTGTAGCTTGTTAAAGACCATTCTTGAGCATTACGGGTTCCATTGCTGAACACCCAAGGTACTGATTTCTACAAGCCCAGGGCATTCATTGTCTCTAGAAATAGCCCTTAAAGTAGCAAAGCTTCCTCCTTTTTAAGGAGTCTAAAGTAGCCTTCAGGATCTTTGGTTTACCAAAGTGTAAAGCCTGCCCCTTGCAGTCTCACAAGGTTAGAGCACATTAGCTCTTTATTGCCCTTATCTTTCCTTTCCCTTTCTCAAATCCTCTTCTTAGAGGTCAACTAGCTGTAGTCTTCACTTGGGTGTACCACGTGAAGACCACACCTTCCTTTTCCTACTCTATTTTCTGTGAAGAGTACACCTGACAGACACGTACTCCTCACAGGTGACAGCTCAGACAGAGGATCTGTGTCAACTTGGAGTGTGGTAGGCCAGAGGAAAATGTTCAGTTCTCCTCTGTAATGCTTCCTATGTCACACTCTCACCGCAATATTCTCTCTCTACAACTTTCTTCCTGATCTCTCTCGACTCTATAAAGCTGAAAGCGCAAAGCTTCAAAAAATTTTGAGCCCACCCACCAGCCCGGTGCTGAGAAGCCTGAGTCTTCAAGAGTTCTGGTCTTGCCCCTGAGGGCAGGAAGTCAGAGTTTTTTAGGACATAGACCTTTCCTTTCCTCAGGGGCCCACCCCACACCACCTATAGTAAATGTAAACTCAAATGGATCGGAGAAACATCTACTGTGGTAGACCAGACTTAAAGAGATTTAAGCTTGTCAAACCCAGGCAACAATTTAAGACACAGGATTAAAATCTTAGTCAACACTACTAATTCAAAGAGTCCTGAGTATCACGTGAAGATCAGATGGATGAAATAGTTATTCTAGAAGGAAAACAATATTGTACAAGTCTACAATTTCTACCATTGTGTTGTCTTGTGACTTGCTGACTTACCGATTGATGACCAATTGTCCACCTCTGAGATAGCTTTTCCCTTCCCTTTAGGTCCCAGTTCCAGGATATAGGAGCTGTCCTTGGCATTTGAAGCTAGTAGCTCTCCATCAAGTAACATATCATAATCAATTGGCTCTCCATCTTCATCTCCTTTGTCCTCTTCTTGAATTGCTTCTTCCACAATCACCTTTTTGTCTGCTTTCTTGCTGCCGTTACACTCCCAGCAAAAGGTAATTTTCCCAAGGAAAAAATGATTACATTTAATGCATTTTTAATCAAAAATGCTCATTTAATGCTGAATAATGCTGAGTTAATGCTGATCAAATGCATTTTCAATCATTTTTTGCTCTAAATGTATTCATTTTTTACTTGGGAAAATTACTTTATGCTGGTAGTGTTACCTCTGCTTGGTGGTGCCAGCGCTGGACCTGGGGGAATTTTTGTTGCTACTGATGTTTCTCTAGTCAAACAAGCAGCATTTTCCTCTGCTATGACCAATCTTGCTGCCATTTATTTATTTGTATTACTCATGTTTCAATTGATCTTGATTCAAACTGTAAATTAAGTTTGATTTTTGAAATTCAATTGAACATAATCTTGCTTGAATTCTGAGAGGAATTGACTTATGCTGATAGTTGTGTGAGGAGTGAAAACAGGCCAAAGAAGCTTTTGTTGATGTCAATAGCCTGGGCTGGGAGAAGTTTGTTGCTAGCCCATGTGATGAACTGCATTGATGTGAAGGCACCAGGAAGTGATTTGTTTTTGTATCCCAAATTGTTAAGTTGTGTTTGATTGGTCCAAAGCCGCTTTGAAATCTTGACACCTGTGCCCAGGACATTCAACCAAGAGGGCTCAAAGTAAATTATAGTTACAGCTGATGGAAAGTTTATAGATCAAAAGTTCAGAAAGATTTTTTACTTATGCACCATGTAAATATCCTTGTAGCACGTTGATGTGCACACACAAAAGACTTTCCTTAGACCCTGTAACGAGCCATCAAAGAGGTGCCACAACAAGCACATATTCTCCTTATCACCTGGGAGGTTGAAAGTCAGTGGACCCCTGCTGACAACAAAGGATTCTGCAAATCCTTTAAACAAATTACAAAGCACAAAGGGTGCTCAACAACAATCTCAGTTTAAATTTCACCAAAATACTTTGAGATTTGTTTCAAAACTCTCTGTGTGTGCATGTGAACGGGCTACATGGATATTTACATGGTGATGTACAAGCTGGTTCAAACCAATTTGTGCCTTTGTTATTTCATCACTTTGAAAAACTAAAGCAAAGCAATATAGATAGAAAGAAAGATATAATGAATCTGATGGGAATGCGTTGAAACAGGAGTGGAGGTTGTGGATGTAGTTGTGAAATCAATTTCAGAAACTCACTACAAATGCGTGAAAATGATTTGAAAATTAGATAATGGAAACTTGCATACCAGGTCCCATTTTTGCAATGTCATCAACATCCTGGCCAGTTTCTGCTGACTGCATCCTACCAATGATATGGTTCTGTGGGCTTGCCATTTTTCCCATGTAAAACTAGGACCTCAGCCATGGTGTGGCCTCAACCAGCTGAATATTACCATCCCCTGAATAGGATACACAGATGAACACATTTTGAACCTTGCATGTTTCAGCCATGTGATTGGCCTGTGTCGTGTATAGAATTGTTATCAGTTTTCAAAATTTAGGAAGTGAGGGTTGATCAATATTGATTTACATGGGGGAGAAGATTGGTAAGCCAATCTTGCCCAGTTGGCCCATTGCCTTTCAAGGCCTTTTGTCTTGTATGCCAAGGTTTGAAAGAAGGGATGGCATCCTCCTGGACTTCAGAATTGACATTGACTTGTACCTCTGTTCTGTGCTTTAATTCATCTGGAATTGTGATCTCCAATGTGGATCTCGACATGGCTCCTGATGTGCCTTCAGCTGAATTTGTGGTGTTGATGTTTGATTTCTTATTCCTCTTCAATTTGACCAAATTGGCTACTTGCACATGAAGGACTTCCTGAGCATGTGGACTCAAATTCCTCTACGCTTCTACAATCTTTTTATTTGTTCCAGGTGCCGTGATACCTCCATTTAAATGGCAAGTGGAAAGCAGCCAAAACAGTATGTAGTAGTAAGTAAATGTCGTGTGGTTGAAAAAAGACACCAGAGTAAGATTACATACTATCTTTGACTATTAACCCTCGCAAAAATTTTCGAATGATGAAATTGATTGATATGATCTTATCCAACTGGTCGTGCATCTCCAAAAGCCTTTTGAAGGTTATCTTCAGGTGAATGATATGGTTTCTGATGAATTGTGACAAGAATGGGATTGATGATAGATACACACCACTTGTATAGAAACCCAATGTCAGTGAGCTATTTTGGCTGATCGATCATTCAATTTCGATCAGAATTCAAAAACTAAATTAACTCGAAAACCAAACCACACGGAAAGGAAATCAAGGAAATCAAGGAAGTCAAGGAAGTCAAGGAAGTCAAGGAAGTCAAGGAAGTAAGGATGATAACATGGAAAATATCAAATCGAATCAGATCATCTTATCAACTTCAACTTCATTCAACTTCAACTATATTCTTATCATCCAAATCTAATCAGAAAACTATCAAATATGATAAATCAACCACAAGATCTTATTCTAACTCATCCACAACTTCATCATCATCATCATCAACAACATCTTCTGCTTCTTCTTCAACACCACCTAAAAGAGCTTTAGTAGATCTCGCTTTGATTGCTACTGGCGTGATTTCGATTGGAACTACCTTGATTTGGTTAAAATCAAATCGATCTCAAAAATCAAATCAAGTTCCTTTTAACGTACCAATCAATCGTGGTCAATTTGAAATCCCTATTGCAAGCCAGTGAGTGATGTGAGTTTCATTCTTTTGTTCCATAAACAAACAAAACCCTCTACGAGAGTTCTATGTTGATTGACTGTTTTGTTTGGATGGTGATGGGAATCGGCTCTTTGGTATGATGGGGTTCTTTTTTAGTACTGGATCACCTGGTGGAAAGAAAACGTTGAATATGTTATCGAATGAAGAAACTGATGAATTACTTAAGAAGTATGAAGCAACCTTTAAAGTGGATCGAACAGGAAATCCAGTGTATCGTACGTTTAAAAAAACTCACACACTCATTCACCTATTCTCTTTAGAATAAAAGTATAGACTAAAGAAGCAAAAAGACTGATTGTTTTTTTGGTTTGGTTTGGTTTGTGATTGGATGTAGGTTATGATACGAATCATTTAGCATCTAATTCACCCATTGAAGATGATTCGATTTGTACGATTATGAAAAGAGATCAATTCTCACAAGAAGGTGATATGTTATTCTTTGGAGTGTTTGATGGACATTCTGGATGGCAAACATCTAAAGTCTTAGTTAATAAATTAGTTCAATCAGTTAAAAATGAAATCTCATTAGTCTTTAAAAGCGATCCAGAATATGTTGCACATTATTTAGCTAAAGAGATTTCACGAAAAGCCTCTTCTTCTTCTAAACATTATCCTAAACTTGACAAAGTTGAACTTAATGAAACTTTAATTCAAAAGGTTTGGTCAATCTTAACTTTAAATTCGATCAAAACTAAAATCATAATTGATAATTTAGATTCAGATGATGAAATCATTCAAAAATCAATTCAAAATGCATTTCTTAAATTAGATGAAGAAATCATCAATCGACCGATCAAATTATTAAAAGAAATTGAAAATCGAAATCAAAACAAGAAGGATGATTCTAAGATCAACAGTTTAATCGGATCTTCAAATCAAGAACTTACTCCTGAACAAACTGCTTCTTTACAAGCACTTTTACCGGCTCTTAGTGGTTCTTGTGCTTTATTAGCATATATCGATACAGCACGTTCCAAGTGAGTTTTCCTTCCTTTTGGATGATTGATTTCTGATTCCATCACATAGAGTCTGACCCAATCTCCATATACACTGCTAGGGTACATGTTGCTTGTACTGGAGATTCACGAGCCGTGATGGGAGTTTGGAACCCCAGCGCAAATGGGGGTAAGGGTCAATGGCAGGGGGAACTGCTAAGTGACGATCAAGAAGGTTTGAACCCAAAGGAAGTTGAACGGTTCGTGTTGTTTCTAATCATTTCTCTGGATAGTCTCCAAAATCACTCACCTGATCGATGTCTGAATAGGATCCGATCTGAACATCCTCCAGCCGAACGTGAAAATGTGATCCGACGAGGTCGCATTCTTGGTGGTCTGCAGCCTACACGAGCCTTTGGTGATGCCCGATACAAGGTTGGTCTTCTGATCCCCTGATCTTGACCTGATGTGAGCTGATGTCGATTGATTTGATCACCAGTGGCCCGTTGGAATGCAAGAGAAACTCTATGCTACCTTTCACCCATCAGCTCGAGCTAGACGTGATCCACCAGATTATCTTACTCCACCATATGTGACGGCGAAACCGGAAGTAACAAGTACATCGATCCCAACTGAAGTGGAGACCAACAAACCAGCGTTTATTGTTTTAGCAACAGATGGACTTTGGGATAGATTAGAAACTTCAGAAGTCATTGGATTAGTAGGAAATTGGATAGATCTTGGAGCATCCAATTCTTCTAGTAATCATCATCAATCGATCGTGATGAAAAAAGATGACATCATTAAAGTAAAAGTGATTGAGACATCTAAATCAGTACATGATCCATCTACTGGATCACAAGAAGATAAACAGTTTATTTTTGAAGATGGAAATGTAGCGACTCATTTGATTCGAAACGCGTTGGGTGGACCTAGTCGAGAGAAAGTGAGTGCATTGTTAAGTATTCCTGCACCTCATTCTAGAAGGTATAGAGATGATATCACGGTCACAGTTATGTAAGTCCTTTTATGATTGATTGATGTTTCTTTTTCTTTTTCATATTTCAAGTTGATCTGATCAAATCATTGAACTGATCATGTGGAATTTCATTTGATCTTTGAACTTTTTAATCTAATCGAATTGTCTTTTGCTTTTCATAAATGTATTATTGAAAAAGATTTTTGGATCCGAAAAAATCAAATCATGAAGAAAAGAAAAGTTTCCCCAATGGTGATGGAGTGACGAAAATTAAACCTGAATTAATCGGATTATCTAAATTGTGATTTTGTTCTAAGATTTACTTTTCTCTTTTTCTCTTTTTTCTCTTTTTTCTCTTTTGTTTTTTTGTTTTTGAAGATTAAAAAGGGTTGAAAATTTACTATATATTTTTGGATTTGGTATTTATTTTATAATGCAAAAGAAAAATTGATAAGTTTTTTTTACTGTTTTCTTTCATACTTTGATATTTGTGGAAAGAGATGATGTTTAAGGGGTGAGTTTTATACAGAACCACCAGAAAGTGATACATGAGTTGAGTAGTTCTAGTATTACCATCAGGTTGGACATCACACTCTATCCAATTTGATTCCATAATCATATCTTATGAGCCCATTAGAGCTGCCCCTCCTGTTTTTTTGAAACCGTCAAGGTTTCTTACATCAGTAAGGAACTGATGATCATGATACTCAACAAACAGCCTTGTTATCTAGATGTATGCGCACTTTGATTTGGGTAGCTTCACTATGTAAGATTAACTGCTCTTCTTTAACCATCATGTCAGTATCCTTCAACCCCCCAGAATGTGTGAAGATATATAGAGCCAAAGGAAATATGCAAAAGCATTGCAAGCTGAAAGGTAAAATCTGCATGTGATGTTGAAGTTGTGAAAGTCTGAGTGTTTTCGAATTCAAAGCTGTGAAAGTCAAATGTGACATCTCTTAGGAGTCTTTGATTTGAAGTTTGAACGAATTTCAATTGAGTTTGAAGACCACCCCTTCAAGACCTTTATAACTTCAAGATTTCAACTAACAAAACAACCATCATCAAACGATTCAATCAAGATGGCAGATGTAGGAGATGGTGTTGAAGAACCAGTTAGTGATCTTTGTCTTGACCTTCATCTCTTGATTCATTAAAATCTAGTTTATCTATTATTATTATTATTTTTGATGATTTCTTGAAAATATACGTAGGAATGAAACACTGATGAAAGTGTTTGTTTAATTCATCATCATCTACTCAAATCAAAATTGAAAAAAATAACAAGTTTGATCTTATTCGATTATCATTATCAGAAAGAGTTTTAATCAAACTAAGAGGTGATCGAGAGGTAACAGGAACTTTACACGTATGTGATTGGTTTTTACTTAGATCAAAATCAACATTTTAAATAAATTCGTTCAACAAAACACGAAAACAAAAACACAAAAGCTCATAAATGTTTTTTCTTTACTATCATCAATTTAAGGCTTACGATGGTCATATGAATATGGTACTTTCAGATGTCACCGAAAGTATTACGATTGTAGAAGTACCTGAAAGTCCAAATCAAGAACCTACAATACGTGTAAGAAGATCTTGATTTGATTGATTTTTCGAATTCTCTTGACTAAACTTTTGAGAAATTGATTGATCGATTCTTTACTTTTGGTTAATTGATTTGTGATCACATAGATTGTTAAAAGGAATTGTGAAATGTTGTTTGTAAGAGGTGATGGTGTAGTTTTGGTAATTGATTTTTTCGCTCAATTGAGTTCAGTTCAACGATCATTTCAATTCTAACTGATCTTTTTGTTTGTGATTTTGTTTTCTTAGGTCGCACCACCTGCAAGAACATAACTTTCACAAAGATCATCTTGTCATCGTCTTTTACTTCTTCTTTGATCTGCCTTGTAACCATCAGCCTTCAGATAACATGAATACCCCACACCAAACCAATGAATTGAATTGATGATGAAATTGGAAGTAGAGGTGAGTGATATTGAGATAGATCAAAGGCAAAAAGTGAAGACGTGATCTTATCTGGTTCATTGTATGACATAGGACCCTGATTGTTTTGTGTTTTAATCCAGTTCGAAAAACTTTTGATCAGAGGGAGAGTGGTAAGATCTAATTGCTCAGAGTTAGCTTGCCTTCTAAAAAGCCATTTCTGTAAAGCTTTCAAGAAGTATTCTTGCATTTATATTGAACATGTCGTCTGGGAACATTGCCAATCAGAAGAAGATTGAAAGATGAGAGATGATATAAATCATCACTGAGTCTGACTGAATCTATTTCAATGAGCAATTCCTGAGATATAACCTGATGTTAATTAAAGTTTTTAGTTTTTTTAAAATCAATCCCTACAACCCACTCCCTTGATCAGTAACTTCATCCTTACACAAAACCCAAGGAAATTCACACAATCATGCACATGGGAGAATATACCCTGACAGTGAACAATGACAATCTCTGTGATCCAAATTCAACACTTTCATCCATCATTTAAAGATCATCCATTCATAAGAAAGAAGGGAAGAGTTTGGATCCGAAGCATGGTTTAGCAGTCTTGAAATTAGTCGGGCCGTTCAATTTCAACTGCTGGCAATTCAATGTTTGAACCAATGAAAAACATCTCACATCCATTACTTCACAGCAAATGAAGCAATATGAAGAGGAAACAAAAGCTCCTTGGGCATGACTCCGGGCCTTCATATATGCGTGGCTGACGACACTCGTCAATCAAGTGTAGATCTTAAAGCCCAAGTTGGGCGTAGGCTCAGCACTCAAATGTTGGACTCTCATTTTAGGCAACGCATATGTCCGCTTGTCGAGCTGAACATGGGTGAACTACCCAAATGTGTTTGAGGATCGTAAACGAACATCCATGAGTGATAGGCGTGGAAGACGTAATTTACTTCTCTTCATCGACACATAGACTAATGATAATGTGGACTGAGCCCTGAAGCATATAAGGTATTGGCAAACAGTACTGGTAAATAAATGCCGAATCTCAAAAAGATAAGTGTATTGCAGACGTGAGACTGAAGATAGTCTGATGTGATGGGCGTCAATAGACGTCAAGATTCAATTTACATGAAATTAACGGGTTCCGAAGTGATCGAGTAAAACATTGAGCGCTTCGGATTCTTGTCCAAACTCCTTCACGACAACACAGGAGCATGAAACCACTTTTCGTGCGGTACCATCTCGGTCGATCTGAATGATCACAAGACGAAAGATCATCAGCTTGGGAATCAAAGCAGTCTTGAAATCGGATGGGAGGACTGAATCAATTCACTAACCTTGCAAAGACCGCACCATTCTCCGAGTAATTTACCATCTCCAACTTTGATCAAGTTGATCTTGTGCTCAGAGCAAAGAGCTTCGATAAGCTTAACATATTCAGCTTCGGTACAGCCTTCGTTCAACACGCAGAGATGGGCTTGACGTTTGTCAAGGGCTTTGGCAGACTCTCGTAGACCACGAGCGAGTCCATCGTGGACCTGGAATGTACCATTATAATGTTGATGAGTTTGACCATTATAGGGTAATTCTCAGGGAGCCATAGCAAAAGTGACTTACAAGAGCAGTCTTCAAGACTTTTTGAAGGGCATCTTCTACAGACATACGTCCACCTTTAGGGGCATCAGCCTCTTGGGTGACTTCAACTTCTTCAGCGGCGACATCAACGGGTGTGTCCTCTACGTCCGACATGTCTGTCTTTGGGGTAAATTTCTGAAAACTGATGATATGTTAGATTACAATCATAACTTAGATCGAAAATTTCCGAAGGTGACTAACAAAGGCGAATTGACTTGTCGGTTACGTCCTCGAGGAGCTCCGGTAGAGAAGGGTAATGATTTTGTACGATGGAGTGTTTTGCGAGGATAGTTTTCTCAAAAAAGACGCCCGGCGGGGGCGCTGAAGCGGGATCCACTACCCTGAATGGCAGGGCACACCGGGACCGGGACTTAGGTTAAAAATGATGAGACCAACTGACATGCTTGTTTGAAGCCCGAGCTGAGAGTCGGCCCCGTCCAGCACGGATACCTGAATCGGATAGCTCTCGAGTCTGTTTCCAGGTCAAGTTGCTTTACTGGCAAAAAGTTGACTCGAGGTTTGAAAGCAAACCTCTTCAGTCACCAGCCCTTTCCGATTGGGACACGCACGATATGTCTGGTTCCATCTCATTTGATAGAGACACAGTGCCCACAGATCTTGCATGACCAGGGTAAAGGTTCCAAATAGGTCTCTGGGAGGCGAATTGAATATATCAAATCAAGCTCTCGCCTTCTGCAGTGATACTTAAAGAGAGGAAATACGAGCAGAAAAGTTGAACAACACTTGAACGTATTTGTTACCTGTTAACCAAGTGAAGGGTTTGGAACAAAACCGAAGTAACCAAAAAAAATAGACGATCACAAGTGTCGGTAATGATCTGGATACACACCTAATTAATTGATAAGAAATGCATAGCATCCTACTTTTGATTGGCTACTAAACTTGGCCTGATGTATTTTCATCAAGACCTGCGTTGCAAGATCCGTGTTTGTCTTCCATAGTGATTGGCATAAGCTCAAGGAAATACATTTCAGCGGGAATGAGAACATTGATGTATGCATAAGGGTGCTACATCAATAATCTGATATCTTTGTAATAACAAATAGCATCTGGGTGGTAACAAAGCAAGACTCGATTCCAAAAAAAAACTATGTATTTATCACAGGGATCTGAGTTTCCTAGTTCCTTGCTTTACAAAGGAGGCAGTGAGCATGAATTGTTAAAGGGAAAAGTGAAGCGCATCTGTAATATGATCATGTCCAAGCCGACAGTAAGATCTTCAAGAATAATTTACGCAGTCGCTACAACATTGTCCGCCAATCTAGAATGGATGAAGAAAATAACATCAAAGATATCAAAAACCGATTGGAGACCCACCTGAAAGAGAGTCAAGATATCAACACAAAGATGACGTACAGAGTTTGGTTTGCAAGAACAGCACTTGAGTGTCTGTTGATTATTGTCGCACTGTGCCCGTAGTGCAAAATGACCTGTGAATTGGACGAGATGAGAGTCAGTAAAGTCACAGATGGATGTGCCATTGACGCAACACTGACCGATGGCACAGCCATTATTGTCCGTGTTTGTTTCGCAAATCATGGTCGACCGGTTTCCAGTGCAAGCACCCAACACGGAGTACTGTAAGCACAAAAGGAAGAAGACAGCGGACAAGATCGAAGAAGTTGAGATTCTCGAGTTCATGATTTAATTGTGATGAAGCACTGCGGAATGGGTAAAGGTTGAAAGATTTCACAGAAAGGTTTCTTTGTAAAAAAACTAATCAAAAGGTCAATCCAAATGTAAGGCATATCAGTGAGCTGACTCGATGACCACGAAAGTGAGAAAGAACAAGTAAGTACCTAAAGCTTGAGGTGGACGGGGAACCAATGTGATAAAGTGAGGAACAAACAGGCAGAACAAACCGGCGGTCTTTATAAGTACGACAATGACTGCATATTCGATTTTGGAATATTAGAACTTGAGGAATTCACAGCGGGTGAACTGTAAAGGCTTGTGGACCACTTTGAATTATGAGATACAGATACAAAACCCGTTGTGGCTTGATGTCGGCTGAGTTGATATATGTATGTACCAAATCTTACCTTTCCACATCTACAAGAAAGGTTCACCCTCCTTTGCGATAGGGATGAAGAGGTGAGTATGTAAACACGCAGCTTTGGTTATTCCTACAGTCCGGTGCATACTTGGTTGGCCGTCAGCGTGCTAGGCGATTTCGAACATGGACATCAAGGTAGTTGGGTGAAATGGCTAGCTTCGGGATCCTAACAGCGGGGTCAGATCTAACCACCGGCCGGCTTCGAGGGATGCCGCGGCTCGAGAAACTCAGGGGTTGGGTAAGCTCATGCCGTGTTGTCGTAAGAGTACGCGCAAACTAAACCAGTCTCTCTCCCTCAACTTCTTGCAAGGGAGAGGGACCGGTTAAGCTTGGAGTAAGATGGGTCGTGTTAGAAGCAAGATATTGATTGTTGTTTTAGACCCAACATTTCGTCACAGTTCACAATTTAAGGATGAGGACGAATCAGAACAAGTTTATAAGGAATTGATTTGTAAAACTTCGCGGTCTTGTGATAATTAATACGTTGGCATTATCTTTGATGATCAAAGCATAGAGACATGGATATCACAACATCAAAGCGATGGATTTCTGGAGGAAATTGACATCTGGAACTCGATTGGAATCTCTTGTTAATGGCTCTGTTGGTATTTGTTACCGTAGAGTGCAGCACAAGGATGATTATGGTGTTTTGGGAGCAATTGAAATGAGCGCTGCCTCTGAACAAAGATGTTGAAGGGTGAGGGATCAAGATATTCGATCTGAATTGAGATGCTCGCTCAACTGTTGAGTTGCAATCTGATGATTCAAGCTATTCTAACAATCTCTCGAGGCACTGCCTGATTTTCTTCTGGAACGGCGATGGGGGTTCCCTGACAGGTACAATGGCCTGATCTCACGTCAAATTCAACTTTGACAAGAGTATGTATAAAATGGATCTGGATACTTGGTCAAGTGATGTAAGGAATGCATGTCAGCTGACTTCTAATCGCACAGTGACTTTGTTTGTTTTCATCAGGACCTGCGGTGCCAAATTCATGTTCATGTTTCATAGAAATACTAGATACCTCAGCTTTCAGCGAGCATGGGCACACCACGGTGAGTGTACTTCTGGTGATTTTTTTAATAGATAATATCAGAGCGGTAACAAAGCAAACTTCGATTCCAAAACAAGTATGTGTGTACAGCTATCTGAGATTCCTAGTTTCTCATCTTTCAAAGAAAGAGGCTGCGAGCATAGATTGTCAAAGGGAAAAGGTGAAGGTTATCTGTAATCGTACGCCATCCGACCTGACACTAGATCTTCAACTATGGGCTATACATCTACAACATTGCGTGCCATCCTACAGAGAACAAAATGACATTCAAAATATCAGAAACTGATTGGATATTTGACTGGAATATAATCATGATATCATGTAACACAAAGGTGACGTACAGGCTTTGATGGGCAATCGCAACAGCTGAGTGTCTGCCCCTTATAGCACCATGCATCAGTACGGAATGAGCCTGGAAATTGGAAGTCGGAATCAGAGTCAGAAAAGTCGCATATGTATGTGCCATTGAGGCAACACTGACCAATACCGCAGCCGTTATGGTCCGTGGATGTTACACAAACTAAGTTCGGGTGGTCAGAAGGACATCCTTGACCCAAAACAGGGTTCTGTAAACACAGAAGGAGAAGCACAGCGGACAAGATCGAAGAAAATACGATTCTCGAAGTCATGACTTGATCGATTGCTGTGATGAAGGACTGCGCTATTAGGAAAGCTTGAAAAATTTCACAGAAATCTTGCTTTCTTAGGAAAGATAATTCAAAGGTTGAAAAATTTCACAGAAGTATTTGTTTCTAAGGAAAGATAGGTAAGAGGTCAAAAAAGTGAGATGCAGATCAGTGAGCTGATTTGATAAGGAAAAAAAATGAGAAGACCAAGTAAGTACCTAAAGGTTGTGGTGGAAGGAGAACAGATGGGGTGGAGTTTGGATGAGGAACAAGCAGACAGGAGAAACTCGCAGTATTTATATGATGCAGAACCTTGCAGAAGTTCAGAACTGGAGAACTTGACAAATATAAATATCGGGTTGGCTTGATGTTATTTTTTGTACCTTCGCAAGAAAGGTTGGCCCTTGTTCACCCCCCTTCACCCACACTATCCGCCGTGGGGATATATGAAAACGCAACTCTGGTTGTTCCTATAGCCCGGTACATGGTGCAGCCACTAGCGTGCTTGATCAGAGGAGTTGCTCAGAGTTACTCACACTTAAGTATGTACATACATAGCCACCGGCCGGCTTCGAGGTCAGTCGCGGCTTAAGGAACTTACGAGCTGGTCATGCCGTGTTGTCGGACTCATAAGAGTGCGCGCCCAGTTGAACTACCAGAGCTAAAGGATTCCTGACGACTAGTCATGAGTTTAGGTCACCCGGAAACCAAGTTGAAATATCTCTTGGAAACCTCATGTTGCACCTGATCAGTCATCATGGATAGGGGAGCAAAAGAACAGGAGGGTGAAACTCTCTACGTACAAAGAGGGGAAGTGCAAAGGGAAAGCAAGACTTGCAAAAAGGTATTACAATTTGAAATTACAAAAGAAAAACCTCACAGGACGGCTTCTTGAACAACAGTTGGAAAAATAAAAAAACTGATATCAACAGAATGAATTATGTACATGGTTCGGGAAATCAATGTGAAGGAGAGCAATAATGCTGGCAAGTGGAAAACACAGAGAAGTCAATAACTATCCAGTTATTTTGGAGCTAAGCTTACAAGAATTGTTTATTTTTCAAATACCAACAGGACTAAAACCAACAGGACTATGCAAATGCTTGGCTCTATTCTTGTGTCCAACCACAATACCAACATACATATTATTATGATCAAGTTTGACTTTGAATCTCTTTCTAATGAACAAGGTGCCCACAGAATTTAAACATGAAGAAACTTTACCAAACTTAAAGGGAGTATTGAAGAATTTCAGCTGATTTGATGATCCAGTGTTGACCATTGCAATAAGGGTAAAAATTGAAAGGCCTTTGGTACAAAGGTTACCTGAAGAAAATGAAATGAGTCAGATGGGGTGAGACCATAAAAAAAA